ATATATATATATATATATATACCCTATATATATATATGTCTACTTTAATGAAAAGAAGGACTAGGGGAGACATGATAGCAGTGTTTTTTTTTTTTTACTTTTATTAAACATTTATAGGCCACCCTTTTCCCTGAGGGGACTCAGGGTGGCTTACAATAATAGGGGAGGGGAGTGCAGGACAAAACACAGTGTTCCAATATCTCAGGGGTTGCCACAAAGAAGAGGGAGTCAAACTATTCTCCAAAGCACCTGAGGGTAGAACAAGAAGCAATGGGTGGAAACTCATCAAGGAGAGAAGCAACTTAGAAGCGAGGAGAAATTTCCTGACAGTTAGAACAATTAATCAGTGGAACAACTTGCGTCCAGAAGTTGTGAATGCTCCAACACTAGAGGTTTTTAAGAAGAGGTTGGATAACCATTTGTCTGAAATGGTATAAGGTTTCCTGTCTAGGCAGGGGTTTGGACTAGAGGACCCCCAAGGTCCCTTCCAACTCTGTTGTCCTAGTCTATTCAGTAGAGAATATACATTGAAAGCAATGTGGCAAAAAACGGGTCAGGCATAAGAGATTACTTATAGAAATTGCTTGTGGGAGGGGTGTTTCTTCCCCCACCCCTGCCCCCACTTTCACAGAGCAGACTGAAGAGGAGGAGATTACAAGACAGTAAACAGGGACACAATGAGTAATATACTTGACTGTTTGCATGATGTACTTCCAGCTTCCAGAATGTGCTAAAGATTGCCAGCACATCTTTTTGTGTATTCCCCATTGTGTGCCTCTTTATTCCCTTATAATTCCTTTCTCTCCAATCCTCTGGTCTGTAAGGGAAAAAACAGCAGCACGTCCAGCACAGAATAACATGTACTGACTGTGACGACAATCACATGACTGAGGTATGAGGTAGAGGTAGCACTACAGCAAGTAAGCGCTTTGCTAAGACAGACAGGTGTGGTTACATAAAAAGATATAATCATACTAGCAGCCACAAATAAAAAGCAACAACATATGATATTTGCTTCAGACTAAAAACATGATCAAAATAGGCAAGTTTGGGAAAAACTTTATAGCTATCATTTATTTTTCACATTGTTGAACCCTTCATTTCCCTTAGAATTACATCATGACTCACAGACAGAAGACATGACCGCAACTTCCTAGGTTCACAGGTTTCTTCAGAATGTTAGTACTGCGAAGAAGAGAATAAATGGAATTGAGTTATTTCTGTCCTAAATATTAGAATGGATACATTTTCATTGCATCTCCAAGATAAATAATATCAAGATAAACAAGCTATGTAAACACTGTTTCTTCTACATAAACATAAAAAAATGTACCATGAAAAATGTGTTCATCTTTCCTTACTCAAATAACCTCACTCTAGGTAGCTGTCTCTGCCTCTTGGGACATGTTAAGAATCCCACCTTCAATGCAGAAAAAGATGGCTAGCATTGTGGCTATCAAGGATGGGCTGCCAATCCCATGGGTGTGTTTTTAGAATCTGGAGGACAGTTTAAGCTTCGTTGTAAAGCAGAAGCAAGTAGATTTACAATAATTACAGCTTTGTTTGGTTGCATCAAGGCACATCAAATCCATTAGGTTTCTTAACTGTTTGAAATAGATCAGGGATCCTCATCTTTTTAGGGTGGAGCACATCGGAAATTTTGAAACCATGTTATGGGCTCAGTCATCCGATTGCCATACAAAACACCCATTTGGTGGTGGCAGAGCAGCTGAATTATTTGCTCCTCCTCCTTCTAACCTCCCACCATATTGAGCATATTGCCCCCCCCCACAGCCCTTTTTAAAAATTATTTTTTAATTATTTTAACTTTTTCAAAATCCTTCAAGGGAATATACAGAATTTAGAAGCACAGCTGCAAATAAAGATTATACATCAGATTAAATACACTGCAGCATTTTGGTTTCCTAATTATTAATTAAGAAAACCCAGAAAGTGAAGCATCTTCTGTCTTACAATCAATAACTAATTACAGCATTGTTCAAGTTATTTCTCACGGTTATTTGTTTGGTAAATTTCAAGAGTGTTATACAACTATCAAAAGGGCTTCTGCACGAAGGGAAGCAGACATTACACAGGGGGGTCTACTTCCCTAGCTGTAACCTATTCCAGTGCTTTACAGCATGAGGGGAAACTGGAACGAAGCTGTCTTTAAATGCGCTGATGAGAAGCTACAGGTTCTTGTCTGGTTCTGGAAGGGCTGCGACCAAAGAATCAGGATCCATGGATATTCAGGGCAACTTCGATAACAAGATTTTAAGGGAATGCTACCTTCAACTGTTGAAACCCTTTATTCATTCTGCAACATTACTGTGATCCAGCTAGAGCGGGACAAGGCTCATCCGCCCACATCATCTTTCCCATCCGCTGGCCCCCACCTGCCTTCTGGAGGGCAGGGAGGCCAAAAAGCGGGCCTCTGGAGGCCAAAAACGGGCCCATTTTCTGCCTCCCTGGCCTTCAGAGAGGGGGAAACACACACACACCCACATCCCTCATACACATCCCAAGGCAGCCACATCCCTTCCCTAACCTGCTTTCCACTGCAGGAGCATAACAAATTGAAGTTTAATTTGTATGCATTGTTTGAACTGCTAAATTGGCCTCACCCACCATCACATGCCCACCCACCATGCCCACCTAGTCACATGCCCACCTAGCCAAGCGCACCCAGCTGGTCCAGCCCCCCCCAACAGTCTGAGGGACTGTGAATTAAAAAGTCTGAGAAGCTCTGCTCTAGAGTATAACACCCAGGTCAGCCTTTATAACCTGGCAGGATAGTTGGCTGCAATTCCTAATTCGTCTGATGGGCTCTATATTGAGGAAGGATGACCAGTGCCAAGAAAGTAAGTGTTATCTGGGAAACCTATAAGAGAGGGAGCCACAACACATTAACAGTCTTCCAGAGAAAATTACCCTTTGAATATAAGTGAAAACGTCTATATTTAAGGAATCCCCTAATTTATGGAATAGATTCAATAACAGTAACCCCACCTACAATTGCAAACTCCCGTTTCAAGGAGAACCGTATCTAAAAGGAAATAATTCTGTTTGCAAAATTGAGAGCTAGTCTGGTGCGGTGGTTGAGAGGCAGGGCCAGCAACAGGGAGAAGAGCATCTCTTCGATTTCACTTTATGTTCAAGGGGGAGACGATGGCAAACCACTTCCAAAAAAACCTTGCCCTGAAAATTTCAAAGACTCGTCCGGGAGTCAACACTGACTTGAAAAAAAAACAAACTAAAGCAGAAAACAAACAAAAACATCCCGATTCACTAATTGCCAGATAAATTCCCTGCCACTTGGTTTTGTTTTAAAGTTTAACGTTTTATACAGAGCCAGCGAAGGCTGGAGTGGGTCAATCCATATAAATGCTCTGCTCCCTCTTCAGCAGAGGGAAAGAAGAGGGAGGGGTAGAGAGGGTGGGAGAGAGGATCGGAAGGAGGGTGAGATGGAAGGGAGGGAGTGTATTGGGAGAAAGGAGTGATAGAGGGGGAGGGGAAGTAGGGAAGAGGGGAATGTTGGAGGGGAGAAAGGAAAGTTGGAGGGGGGCGAAAGAAAGGGTGTATGGAGGGTTGAAGTGCTATATTGGTTTTGTATTTTGGGGAGTGTTTTTGACAAGGAAGGCTGCGTTTATTGCTCAATGTTATATGACCCCAGTCAGGCACAGTATATATGTGACCGTATGAAATGAAAATGAAAATAAAACATATTTAATAAAAAAACTGTGGGGAGATTAAAACAATTTCTCCTTCACTTACTCTGGATAGCAAACAGCCCTGGGCCTCTCGGTCTCCTGATAACAAAACTGTGGGGAGATTAAAACAATTTCTCCTTCACTTACTCTGGATAGCAAACAGCCCTGGGCCTCTCGGTCTCCTGATAACAAAACTGTGGTGAGATTAAAACAATTTATCCTTCACTTACTCTGGATAGCAAACAGCCCTGGGCCTCTCGGTCTCCTGATAACAAAACTGTGGGGAGATTAAAAC